ATCTCGCGTGTCTGATCTTTGCAATCAAAACGAGAAATTCCGGCGAAGTCTTTGAATTCTCAGTACCGTACAGAAGATCAAGTTCTCTGTCGAAAAAGGTCTGTCTAAGAAAATGGCCAGTTGTAGGTTTTAGTCGCTGCGAAACTTCTCATTATGAAAGCTCGTACTTTTCCACTATTGTGCAATGTACATTTGATGATTTCCCGTAGCAAACAAACCGGCGGAGAAACTCCGGCATTATAACTTGCTAACCATATAGTCAAAAAGCAATGGATTAAAGTACGTACGAATGTTTGTAATTAGTTAGTTCTGGTTCTGCCCTGACGCGCACGCAAATTCTCCTTACTGGTGTATATGTATATCTTACAGTACGAACTGAGAGAATCTGTTTCAGTAACAAAATAATTGCGTCAATGACAATTCCTTATTTCAGCCGACCTGCTCACTTAATTTTGCAGTGTTGTTGTAAAGGGAGATTAGATCTGATTACTGTAAGGCACTGAACAAAACGAAAATAGGTAAATTAATTGTAAGTAAGTGCGAAACAGAAAGTTTACAATTCTTATGAAGCTAGGGCTGGAAATTGACACTATTCAAATGTTGTTGCTTTTTTGGCGGGAGGGGGTCGTATTAACAAAAGCCACATAAAGCAATGAAAATGAAATCAAAAATAACAGAAAGGGGAGAAAATATGAGGGAAATCGATTCTTGTTGTGACGGAATGTTAAATTTAGTGAAGGGAAATTGTAGAAGTCTACTTCAGTCTAGTTTCTATTGTTGAACCTATAGTATGTAAGAGTATGTAAAAAGGTGTGTTTAGAATTGTCTCTACCTACTGAAACATTCCATTTTCTGAGTCAATTTCATTTCGTCGATGTAATTTACAGTGTGGTGTTCAAGCTATGCTAATAGAGTAAGCGCTATTGCCGCCGCTATTTCTCGAGTCGGTCTATGTTCCTCGAAAAGCGGCTGGTAATCGAGCCTGCATGCACAGCGACAGAACACAAACTTAAAATTGAAGATAAATTGGTTTCAGGAAGTTCAATTGCACCGAATGATACACTGTAAGTGTTTGAGACACGTAAGGTAATCACTGCGGCGAATCACTTTTCTCTATAAACACAACAGACAAACGATTGTCACAGCGTTACTAGGGGGAAAATAAACAATCGTGGACAATTTCAATGAGAAATTAAGACCACCCCTTTCCCCATTTCAATGACAAAAAAATGGCGCATTTTAGGTTTAGCTCCGCTTCATCGTTGATTTTTTGATTCGGGGAGAGGGATGGTTTTATTTTTTTATTTTATTCTGACCAAGATTGTAATATGAAGAGTGTGTCCTCTCAGTTAAATATTACTTCATCAGCACTTTCCGTTTCCTTCGATCTGACGTTGAAGCTTCCTGATTTTTTCACAGGTGTTTGGTAAAGAAGAGAAAGGAGGAAGTGGCGATTCCTTTAGGGTGCTGATTGGAGCAGAAACATCAGCAGGTAGAAACTTCATCATTTGTTTAACAATGTGGTGATAGATTCACGTTTCAGGGTTCGATTGCCTAATTAAATAGTTCGTCTGATGTTTGTTGTTAACACTGTAAGAAGTCTAAGGAAAATTCTACTTCTCCAAAGTGTCGTTTACGAAGGTTGTGTTAACGTCAGTGTTCATTGGATTGTTATTGCAGATTTTGATCATTTGAAGAAACAACAGGAGAACAGATCAGCAAAACCAATTAAACAGTTGCGACAGCTGAGTCTGTTCAAGGTATTTTGCACATTTGTTGTTCAGAGGCATTTTAATCCTACTACTTTGCTTTCGCGCTCTCAAGTCTCACTGGCTTTAATTTCAAAAGATATTCATTTTTTGGCCTTGATCGCCCCACAGCACGAAAACAATCAATCTATCATCTTACAAAATTGCACATCTTTTAATCTGGTTTGCTTTTTTTGGATTAAAATTCTCTGTGTTTCAGTTCCCACTGTACTATTATGCAATGAACTTTGTCGCGCATATTTTAGTTGGTAATTTTCCGCAGCAAACAAACCGGCGAAGAAACCTCCGCCATCATATAACTTGCTCACCAAGTTTTTCAGTCAAAGAACAACAGGTAGAAGTGCTAATGGTTGTAATTGGTTGGTTTTGATAAGGTCCTGATGTGACACACAAATTCTCCTTACTGGTGTATATCTATTTCTACGAACTGTGGGAATTCCTTTTAGTGACAAAAGAATGTGTTGATGTGTCTTGATGGCAATTCCTTATTTCATCCGACCTACGCGCTTAATTTTGCGTTGTTGTTGTGAGGAGAAGTTAGATCTGATCACCGTAAGGCACTGAACGCAATTGTGAAACATGAAGTTTTTAGAGGATATATATCTGATGAACTAAAACCTCAGAAGGATATGTAATTTCTTATTTTGGAATATGACATCGCATGTACATAAAAACCGGCAATACACTTTCTGGCCGCGAATGCCTTGCGGCCGAACTTCACGATAAAGCGAATAGCCGCAATCCAAACGAGTTTGTTCCAAACAAGGTTTTCTCTCTAGTCATGATAGCTAGGCAACTGGAAAACTACGAAAGTGGATGTTTGTCGTACAAAGGTCACTGTAAAAGAAAAAAAAAACAACTAATAAAACAATCTCCTTATGCAGTTAAATCGTCGCGATTAAAAACTTGGAACGTGTCCATTATTGAATCAGTGAACTTTATTGACTATCGCTTTCCAAGGTCTCGTTTAAAACCATCAAAAGTTTTTTTTTTTTTTTCGGATTTCGTGGTAACATTACTCAGGCAGTCATGCAATCACTGACGTGCACATTGTCCTTTGATTACCAACATGAAAACATACAAATTATCTCTCTTGCACTTCTCCGATGAGTTCTTATGGTTCTTGGCATGGGTGATCAGTTTAAGAATTCTTTAGACCTGTTCACTGGACTTTGTTGAGATACGTCGTGAGAAATAAGATGCTGATCTGCCTCTAAGGTGAAGACTGAAGCAGTTGCCACAATGATAAACCGAGCGCTTTACTAAAGACCGTGTTTTAGTTTTTGCTTTTCTTAAAGCCTTCTTTTTCTTTTACAGTCCAGTAATTAATAAGAACATAATGCATACCTTGATAAAGCAGTGAAAAACAAATCATTATTTTTTTAAATAGACAGTTTTTGGCTTAAATAGGAAGGAAGGTCAAAATGGAGGGCTGCTAAATAGTATTTGTATAGTGATGGAACGTTCTAAAACTTTGGTCATCACTTCGTGTGTTGACCTTTTTGTTGATTTAAGCATTCTAAGATGACAAGTCATTCAAATTGTAGACACTTCGGAATGTGGACAGATCACGTCCTCAAATAACGCTTCGCAGAGACCATTCTAATTTTTAATCTCGTTTGCTTTACAATTTCGATTCACGGCATTACCCAAATAACGAAGTGAAATTTAGAATTTCTTGGATGGTCTTAGATTCCGCCATAAAGGAGAACTGTAAGTACAGTACGTACAAGTTACTCGTCTCGCTATCATTGAAAATTAATTAACTTTCGCTTAGCGCATCTTTATGTTAAAACAATTCAAGTGTGTATACGAACTCGAAAGATCTCGTGTCAGTCTCTTCAAACAGAACGAAAAATTCCCGAAGGCTTTGAATCCTCAAATTTGCGGTACAGAAAATTGATTTCCGATTCGGAAAGAGAGCCGTCTGATAAAATTGCTCATTCAGTGTAAGCTTTGCCTGTTGCGGACTTCGCACTTTTTCCTAAGCGGCAATAGACTTTGTCACTCACATTTTGGTGATTTCTCGAAACAAACAAACCGGCGAAGAAAACTCTGGCATTGTAACTTGCTCTCCAAGTCTTTAAGTAAAAAACAAAACAACAACAAAAAAAAAAACAGATAGAAGTACGAACGTTTGTAGTTACTTGGTTTTCGTTCTGTCCTAATGTGACACAAATTCTCCTTACTGGTGTATATGGTTTTTCTTATAGTGCGAACTGAGAGAATTTGTTTCAGTAACAAAATAATTGCGTCATTGGCAATTCCTTATTTCAGCCGACCTGCTCGCTTAATTTTGCTCTGTTGTTGTAAGGAGAGATTAGATCTGATTACTGTAAGGCACTGAACAAAACGAAAATAAGTAAATTAATTGTAAATACAGTGTGAAACACAAAGTTAGCAAGGGTAGCAATTAAGAGCAAATGCACAGAAATATCGAGCAAAGCGTGGCCACGGTCAAAACTTAACTTACCTTTGTTTCGAGTTTATAGAGAGGTATTTATGAGTTTTCGAAAGTTTTGGGGCTCATTTTTCTAAATACGGCCTACTTTCAGGAATACTTGGGAAAATGGATTTTGCACTCTCTCTGGCCAAAAAATGGCCGAATAAATTGGCAAAATATAGCGTTGCAAAAACGTCCTCGCGTTAATAGTTAAAATTATATCTTCGGGAATTAGATACTACTATTAAAAGAAGAAGTTTTTGGCACTCTATATTTGTCTGTCCTTCGGTTGCAGATGACAGCTGTCACTGTGAAAAACATATCCTTTGATGATGTGACAATAGCCGTTGTAAAGCAAGTATTAGTCTACAATTGCAAAAAGACTTTTCGTTATGTGGCAGAGCTCGAATCGAGCTCATTTTATGGCTCTAAGATGTTGAAATACTCTTCTTGCACGAGATATAAGCATTTGCTTGGGTTTTTCAGCGGGCGCTTTGAAAAACGCTACCAAAATCTGAGAATTTTTTTTGAAATTCCAACTAATTTGTATATTGTCACGGTAACGAAACACTGAAGCGGTTTAAACTGTTGCTTCAAACAATCCGCTTCCAATAGCAATTGATTTAAGGTTTTTAATTCTCTTAATCTGATGCTGCGATGGATGTAGTCACAAAGGACTATATTATATAAAAGTAGTAGTAATCAAAGATTAGAGCAGTGCGTTCACGCGAGTACTTTGCATGTTTGGTCTACTTTGGTGGCGTTCAAATGGCTCGATAGAAAACTAAGTTTGATCGAATGACAGATAACGATTTGCACGTGAAGTTGAAGCCTGCGGTAAAAGTGTTTTTAATTAATTAAGTATTAACTTGTACTGGACAAAATATTTTCCAGGAAAGGCATTTGAACTGTTGGCGACACTTAGAATTCAATTTCAGATCGCCAACACTTGTAACAAACATTTCTTAATTGAGAAAATAAAGCTTTGACCAGCGAGCCTGCAAGACAGTGCGTCGCCAGATGTTTTTAAATTTTTTCATTGTTAGTATTTGTTTACATTACTCGAATATAAATCTTGTTTTCACAAATGAAAAAGGTGAATTAACCATTCTGGCCACAAAACACGGCCTTTAGGCGAGTTACACAGGACGGAAAGTTTGTTTTCTTTCAACCAATTATGAGCACAACGAATTTGCCGAGATACAAATCGGAAAATTTAGTCTCTGTACACAGATCTGAGGTCATCACGGCCATTTGCGAGCTACATGGATGATTTGTTTTCTTGCTACAACTCATAGCCATTTGCAGTCGCCGAGCCACAAAACATGACGCAGGGTTTAGTTACTTGTTTTCGAAGGCTAGCGGGTCAAAATACATGCAGCTTTGCAGAAATCATACATACTTCGAATCTATACGGCGAATACATGACTGCGTGCATGTGCCCATGGTGTAAATTTGTCCCTGCTGTGGGGATGGGGGCAAATCGGTGAACAAATCCGTCCCAAAAATTCCCGATACAAACTGGATTAGGATTACGTTTCATCACTAATCACTGAGACTCTACAAAGGTCACCAGGTGATGGCGTATTCTTTATTACTGAATAGAATATTTTATGAACTATGATAAATCATCCCTTGAACCTGAGATAAATGTTCTTCCATGAAACTATTAATTGTATAAAGTTCCTGAGTATATCCATACACCTCTTAGAAACAACAACTGTACGGCCAGTGTCACGACCTTTCCATTATGTTACTAGATTCAGCCTGTAATGCATGTCGGGTTCAATGATATACTATCACCATTTTCCCACGTGTAAAGTGTTTGTTAGCTGATGCACGGAATGACATGCAATTACCCTGAGACAATTTTAACAAGAAAAATTAACAAATAAATTATTCCAGGCGAACCTTGATTATATCTTCACGGCCATGAATTCCATTTCGCCACTCTCACTTTCATAGGTGTTCGAAGACGTCGTTTAGATGTCAGAGTCACTTGCAGATGTTTATGAAAGGTACTAAACATGGAAACGCCAGAAAAAAGGGAGAAGGCAATGAGCCTAAATTTTCTTTATTCGTCCAAAAAAAAAAAGGCTGTCGTCGGTTGGGTGATGGGAAGCGAAACATTTCGCGGTGGCCTTAGTTTGTGACCAGGTTTCCCGAAATATGCCTATAAGCCCGTTTGCACTATACAGACATGGTTGCACTTTTTGGTTACCGTAAACGTCCCAAAGTAACAACCTCCCGAAATCAGCGAGGCCCCTGAAAGTAACGTCGAAAATTTGTGACCGCTAATAAATCCCTAAAGTAGCGAGCCCACCCATAAAGCACCCCACCCACCCCACCCCCCACCTCCCCCGCCGAAAACAGTGAGTTTAAGGTTTAGTGGTATATTTTTTTTGCTAATCAATAGTCAGGTGAAAGTTACCGTGTGATCATAGGCACGCTACAACAAGAGAAAGTATCGCTTATGCCACGAAGCGTTGTGAAATGTCAATTTGTGCTTCGTCAGTTTATGTTGCGCCGTGCTAACACAAAAACCGTA